GTTGTTTCATGTCTTCAAACGTGGTAGTTCTTTTACTTACATCCATATACGTGCAGGGTAACATTGTGCTTTTACTTCTACATAGCAAGTGTGAGACTTCACTTTTAGTGTATTACTTAAGGGAGGAAGTGAAAATGGAGGTCAGCTTTACTCATTGGCTTGTCATTCTTTTATTAACCTTTTTGAGGACTGGATGGAGCTGTTCATTTCAAGGCTACTCACTCAAATCCAGTCCATGCCAATATTGATCAGAAGTCATTACCATCTGATGGCTTTTGGTGGCCTATGTGAATGTGCTGGCGGTCTCACTTCCTTTTCTAGGAGACAAAGGATGGCCCAGTGGTGAAGGCATTAGTGTTGGACCCAGGAAGTCCCTGCTGTGCCATAGACTGCTTGTCTGACCTTGGGAAAACATTTAGTCTGTAAAAAGCAACAGAGGGTCCTGTGGCACCTTTGAGACTAACAGAAGTACTGGGAGCATAAGCTTTCGTGGGTAAGAACCTCACTTCTTCAGATGCAAGAGCATCTGAAGAAGTGAGGTTAGTCTGTGTGTGCCTCAGTTCCCCATTTGTAAAACAAGGATAATAGTCCTTCTGCTCCTCACAGGTTGTTGTGAGGATGGCATTAAAGATCTGAGATGCTCAGGAACTATGGTAATGGAGGACATGCAAGTCCCCAAGATAGATGTAAAAGATACTATTACAATTGGCATTGGTAAGCATCCTTATTGACAGCTTCAGCAGAGAGAGGTCATAGATTGAATGGGCGTGGAAAATGAACTGTCATTTCATCCCTAGTGGTGGCTGCGTGATATTGAGGAAATTTGCCCATGCTGTACTTCTTCTGGGAATAAACAGGATTCACTTTTGGGGGGGAGGGAGGGGAGGGAAAGGTTTTTTTCCCCATCCTTTTGCATACACTCAGCCTTGGCTTCCTCTCTCTAGGTCCCGTCCTTCCTGATTTCTCAGGTGAGAAAGATGAATGAGGCTACAATCAACAACACCAAAAGACAGATGATGTTTGACAAGGGTGTGAGAAGATTGCTGAGGAGGAAGACCATGGAACGAGAGAGACCTGAAAGATCAGAGGTGCATTAAGACATAACATATTTTTAAATGACAGCTTTGAGTTCCATCGTGTCTACTAGTCTTTTCAATCCCCCTGGTGCTTTCTCCCATGCATGGGAAAAATCTCCTGTCAAATTTCATAAAGCTGCTACCTCATCCAATTTAAATCCTTCCTTGAAATCTACCTCTGTTGTGAAACTAACAAATCACTCCCCTCTGGCATCAGATTAGGCAAGTGGCAAGCTCTCACTTTTGTCCTTCTATTAAACTGTTTATTTTCTACCTCATCTTCCACCCACCCCTTCCCCATCTGCCTATTACATCTTGTCTGGCAGAGACTGAGAGTTCTCTGGGGCAGGGACTGTCTTTGCTCTTTTCTGTACAGTGCCTAGTACAACAGGACACTTATTGTGGGGTTCCCAGGCCCTACTATAATACAGATAAATAATAACAACAATAATAATATGTTCCTTGGGGGTTTGTGAGGCAAATAAGTTTTACCGGAAAGGAGCAATGTGAGTTAAGATGTTAGAATAGTAAGCTTTATATTTACAGAAAAATGTTTTCATTTAAAATAAAAACACCCTTGATTTGGAAACTTAACTTTCGAATCTGACAAGCCTGAATCAAATTGGATTGTCATGTGCGAGAAGCTGTTTTGGGTCTTGTGCTCCCTGGGCTTGATATGTTGCTAAGACAAATAATAGAGGTTCTGTGTAGAACTGGTTGGGAATTATTTGACAAAATGTTTTTTCTTGTAAAATGCCATTTTCTCTGGAAGGCCTCAGGTCCAGGATGGAATTACTGGTCAAAACAAGAGAGAGAGAGAAAACAACTCACTCCAGAATAACCTGGAGGTTAGGACATTCACCTAAGATGTGGGAGGTCCAGGTTCAAGTCTCTGCTCCAAATAAGGACAGCTTCAGTAGGCAAGAGTGGGAGAGACACTGGGTCTATATCCTAGTGGTTAGAGCACTCATAGACTTTAAGGTCAGAAGGGACCATTATGATCACTACAAATGTAGAAGAGCAGGGCATGCACTTGAACTGCATCTCCTATATTCCAGGTGAGTGCCCTAGTCATAGGACTATTGGGTCTCTCTCATGTTTTTTCATGAAAAATCTCAAAAGGTCTCTTTTTTGTTCTGATATGAAATGAAAGCAAATTCCAAAACCCCGGAATCTTTCATGAAGTTGAATTCTTGTTTTCTGACTAGAATTAGTTCTGTTCTGAAGATATTAACTGAATTGGTCTAAAGTACCCCCTTTTGGCCAATTCCTCCAGTGGTGTTTTACAGTATGCGTTCTGAAAGAGAACGTGGGCTGCTCTTCGCAACAGAATGCTGAGTGCTCTGACGAGAGTCAGCCAATTCATGGAATTACGGTAGATTAAGTGGTGGGCCCTGCTTTAGAATAAATCAGCTTTACCTGGATCTGGGCTGGGCTGCCGTGTAACCATGCATTTGTCTGGTTGGCTATGGTTTCACTGCTTGGTGACAAACCATTGAGCAAAGTAGTCATGCTCACCTGGTACTTTGCAGGCAGCAACATGTTGCTGTTCCTGTACTAAACTACATGGCCAGGGATTCTTTGGGCCTCCTCCATTGCTATTTAGAGGATGGGAGAATGAGGAGCTGCTTTCTTCTATGGACCTTTGTCAGAGGAGGAATTGGGGAGCTGGTCCACGGCTCTACAGCCCTGGCATAGACTTGAAGAACAAGAGCGGGGATTAGGGTTTGAGGGAAAGACATCAAGGAGCTGTTCACACTGCAAAAGAAGACTGATAGCAGCCAGTCTCAGAGTGGGTCAACTGACTTGGGTTTGCAGGACTCACATCATGGGGTTAAAAAGACTTGTGTAAAGGTTCAGTCTCAGGCTCTAGCCCAGGGTTCAAGAATCTGCTCTATTCAGCTTGGTAAGTCTGAGACTCGCTGCCACGAGGGTATTTTTGTAGTGTAGCCATATGCTAAAAGAATATGGGAAGCAGAGAGAGTAGACATTGGAGAAGAGAGATGAGGAAGAGTTTATGTATGAGTCATTGATTAGCCTTTACCCACTCAGATGTTTGGAGAGCACTAACACAGGTGTTTTGTGAATGGCATATACACATACATACACCTGTGGGGCATATTTGTTTTAAATGTTGGTACAAGATACTGCATTTTAGACTTATGTTCATACTATAAGTGATGGGACAAAAACAGTTTATTCTGGGAGAGAAAAATTATAAGGCATCCAGATACCTTTAGCATTCTGAAATACAGGCTGGACAGCAGATGGCAAAAGTCTTTGTACCTGACAAGTCGGGGAATAGGCATTCCCAAGTAATTGGAATAGGAAAGGAAAATTGGGGGTGAATAATGGTTGAATAAATGAGTTACATTTCAAAGCATTTAACGTAAACACCATCTTTCAGATGTTCTAAATTATGCAGCGATAAAAGTGGCTGAGAGACTGCTATTGTTCTCTACTCAGGGTGGTATTAACTAGATTAGAATTGGGAAGCAAGCCTTACTAATTGATTTATCCTGCCATTAACCATAGAAGAATGAGTAAACTTCTATAGTGATGGTCTGAACTCTGTACAAGGTCATATATCAATTAAGAGGAACCATATGGGATTTTATTATTTTGCTGTGTATAAACTTGGATCTTGTTGAGGTTGTAGAGAGGGCAAAGAGTGAACTCAGGGTCCTTGCCTGTGGGGAATTTCTTCTTTAGAAAGGAAGAAAAGATATTTTCAAGTATATAATATAGTTTTTAAACAATTGCCTGTCCACTGGTTCGTGCTAAAGGGATCCCAGTTAACATCTGGACTTATTTCTGACTGCAATTAAAAATCAGGGATTGTAGTATATTCCATATGTATTTACATAAAACATGGCATGGTGTTTGATTTTTTGGTGTCATTAGTCCCCATTCCTTCTACATACAAATTTTACTAAACCAGGGCTCAGAGCCAGGACCCCGTAGGGGATAAAGGGTCCAAACCTGAGTCAAGCTGGAACCCAGTGTTCAAGTCCTATTGCTTTTGCAGTGTAGACACAGTCCCACTGAACTTGTGCTCTAGGAATCTACCAAAAGTATCCCTCAGTCCCATGGGGTCAATTTTCTTGTCCTCTGGACAGTAAAGATTGGTGTTTTCCCATGCTGCACCACGAATAAAGAGCTAGAGCAGCCATGTTGTAGCAGGGCACTAGGAAGTCTGGGATATGGATGTAAATGCTGGAGACCCAGACTGGGAACCAGGTTTCAAGATTTCCAAACCTGGGGTTACAAATGAGTGTAGACAATCAAGCCCTAGGTTAACACACTCTACTAACTCTGGGCTTACGCTGCAGTGTGGCAGCTAAACTGCATAACCTTTATGTATTACCTTGTTAGATAAAATTTGTAACTATGTGTTTATATGAAATATATGATTTGTAGCTCATAAATTTATTGCTCTAATGATTCAGGCAGTCCATGTCATTGATTTTTAAAAGTAAACTTGAAAGTGCTTGAAGAACTGCCCCTGAGCTGAGCTATGACAATATATAACTAAACTTACTCCGTTGAATATTGACATGAGAGAACTGTCATTTTTTAACCCTGTGTCTGCAGACTCACATACCCGAGGGGGTGATAAGAGTTTATGCTCCACTGCATTCAAAAGTTTCTATGGCAATTCAACTGAACAGTCAAACAAAAGCCAGAGACATCCTGGCTCGATTTCATTGTGAAAACAGGTGGGTAAAAGCAGGAGGACATCAGAACATTTTATTTTTCCGGAGTAATATCTTCACAGTCATTAAAGAATAGGCTTTTCAGAGGCCCCATTATGTTATTAGAATGCTTTTTTTTACACTGGCAACAGTAATTATGGTAATGTTGGTCCGTAAAAAAATTCTAATGTTTGATTTCTGCTCTTCGAATTCTACTTAATAACTGGCACCTATACAGAATCAGTGTGGCTTCTGTTATGCCTGTGCTGAAACATATATTTTTCTAGGCTTTCTCCAGTTATAAGCTGGAAAGATCGTCTTAAATCTGAATGCAACCGTTAATGCTTTTGTTATTTGTGTAAATGAATACCAATGTTAGTATTTGTGGCGGGTTGGATCACAGAAACCCCCTTGGGAGCTGCCACCTGATGTGCAAAGACTATCTCTGCTCCTGTTTTCCCTTCCAGCTCAGGATTCCGGCACCCTGTCTTGCTAAGCCAGACACTCCCGTCTGCTCCAACACAGACCCAGGGTCTGAATCACTTGCCCCAAAGCTGCAAGTTTACCTGAAAACAGCTCACAGAAGTGTGCTTGTCTTTAACACTCAGATGCCCAACTCCCAATGGGGTCTAAACCCAAATAAATCCGTTTTACCCTGTATAAAGCTTATGCAGGGTAAACTCATAAATTGTTCACCCCTATAACACTGATCGAGAGATATGCACAGTTGTTTGCTCCCCCAGGTATTAATACATACTCTGAGTAAATTACTAAATAAAAAGTGATTTTATTAAATACAGAAAATAGGATTTAAGAGGTCCCAAGTGGTAACAGGCAGAACAAAGTAAGTCGCCAAGCAAAATAAAATAAAATGCGCAAATCCATGTCTAATCAAACTAAATACAGATAATCTCACCCTCAGAGATGCTTCAGTAAGCTTTTTCTCAGACTGGACACCTTCCAGGCCTGGGCACAATTCTTTCCCCTGGTACAGCTCTTGTTCCAGCTCAGGTGATAGCTAGGGGCTCCCCTCCCCCTTTGTTCTCTTCCACCCCTTTATATATATCTTTTGCATAAGGCGGGAACCCTTTGTCCCTCTGGGTTTCCACCCCCCGTCACTGGAAAAGCACCAGGTTAAAGATGGATTCCAGTTCAGGTGACATGATCACATGTCACTGCAAGACTTCATTGCCCACTTGCCAGCACACACATATACAGGAAGACTCACAGGTAAACACGGCCATTTGCAGACAGTTGTCCTGGTTAATGGGAGTCATCAAGATTCCAAACCATCATTAATGGCCCACACTTTACATAATTACAGTAGGCCCTCAGAGTTATGTTTTATATTTCTAGTTTTAGATACAAGAGTGGTACATTTCTACAGATAGGATGATCACACTCAGTAGATTGTGAGCTTTGTAATGATACCTTACAAGAGACCTTTTGCATGAAGCATATCCTAGTTACATTATATTCACTTATTATCATGTTTTTATAAAACCATATAGACTGCACAACGTCACAGTATTTATAAGAGGTAGAGCAAGAGGAAGTCTGCTAGCCCTATTCTGAAAGTCCTTTAGCAAAGTCCTTTGGTGCTATTACATAGTTCTGTTCTTAAAATAAATCTGGCGTAAATTGCCTGCAGTAATCCTTTGTTGTATTGATGATACGGGTTCACTAGTTATAGCTAGCATAACAACTTCTACAACTACAGTTCTAAGATGATAACAACCCTCTCCATCATAATCATGTGAAATGGCAATTGTCCTTGTTACTCTGTTGATATATTAAGACTTCTAAAACTAATCATAGAAATAGAATGCAAAATAAGAGATCAATTGGATGTGTGCATTCCATTGCCTTCAATGGCACTTATGCACATATATCTGAGGGCAGAATTGGCCAAAAGGCTTTATGTAGAAGAAAAAAATAAACTAAAATAGTAGTATATTCTGTGTTCTGCCATCGTTTTAATGCATTTGTTGTTCCAAACAACATTTTTATTTTCCAGAGTCCTTTTAAAACCACTTTTAAGAACAGAATAACTATACCACCAGCCTGGCATACTATATACCACCAGTCACAGATAAACTAGTTCTACACTAATTTACACCCCATATAATCCTATTGAGTTTAGTGGAAATTTAACAAGGTAAAAATTGGTGCAGAACCTGGCCTTTTATAGGCCAGTGGCTCTCAACCCTTCCAGACTACTGTATCCCTTTCAGGAGTCTGATCTGTCTTGCGTACCCCAAGTTTCACCTCACTTAAAAACTACTTGCTTACAAAACCAAATATAAAAATACAAAGGTGTCACAGCCCACTATTACTGAAATATTGCTTACTTTCTCATTTGTACCATATAATTGTAAAATAAATCAATTGGAATATAAATATTGTACTTACATTTCAATGTATAGTATATAGAGCACTATAAAGAAGTGATTCTCTGTATGAAATTTTAGTTGTACTGACTTCGCTAATGCTTTTTACGTAGCCTGTTGTAAAACTAGGCAAATATCTAGATGAGCTGAAACTTGATGTACCCCCTAGAAGACCACTCTGTACCCCCAGGGGTACACATACCCCTGATTGAGAACACTGTTATAGGCTATAGTTAATTCTGCTACTATAATATACTTCCCATTCTGCAGACAATATTCTATAGTGCTGAATGAGGTATAAATGCTTACATTGAGTACATAAATTTGTCACTACTGAAACAAGATCTATAGAATTCCTTGTTTGAAAATGACCATTATACCATAAACAATGTATGCAATCACAGTAATACTATAAAAGACTAAAACTCAATTTCT